GCTCAAAGATCTGGACACCACATAGACAGGTCTGGAAGGTGAGAAATGGAAAAATGATCAGGATAGAGGAGTTAGAGAGACAGGATAAGGAAGCTGACTTAGTTCAAGCTAGGGATGGCAGTAGGTCAGATTATGTTATGGTGAATGAGTTACAGAAACCTTGTATGGAGAAGAGTGGATTAACTGATGTTGAAAGGGGGAGAATAGGTAGGATAATACCAAATTGGAGTGCTGATAAGGAGGTAGAGAAGGAGGAAGAGAGGTAAGAAAGTAGGAACATAAGCACTGAAATGAATGAGGAAAGTTCAGAGGAGACTAGATATACTGAATTAACTGATAATGGGGGTACTAAGGAAGGAATGGAGGTCCAAGAGGCCATAGGAAAGGAGATATTACAAGAGATTGAGAGGTGCGAATGAGGGGAAGAGGGAGAACAAGACAGACTTAGGGATGGAGGGGAGCTAGATTGCATGGAAACTGATGAGAGTATCAGTAAAGAAAATCAAGAAGGTCCCAGGAAAGAAAGGAAGAGATTCAGGAGAGTGCATTCTGGTCCAAGAAAGTTAAGGACTCCTCTTAAGGAGATAAATGGTATCAAAAGAAAGTTCCAACTGAGAGATGAAGATATGGAAGAGATTGGGGATCAGGAACACTTTGATAAAAGACATAGAGAAGACCAGAAGGAGGGGGAAGACTATGTAGGGATTGAAGGGGGAGGGATCAGCCCGCACTGGTCCCCAAAGGACCAATGAGAGCTATGGTGTGAAATTGTCAAGGTGCAGGGAGCCCCTTGACAATTCTCCACCTAAAGGAGGTTAATAACCTCCTCTCCCTCAACTTGATCTTTTTAAGTGAAACAAAGAACAAGGCTAAGTATATGGAGAAGGTGAAAAGGATTCTGAACTTTGACAATTGTTTTGTGTTAGAGGCTATGAATAAATCTGGAGGGATGTGTGTGATGTGGAATGAGGAAACTAAGGTTAAAGATATTAAACATTCTGCCTTTACCATTGAAGTGTTGCTAGAGGATGAGGAAGTGAAAAAGGAGTGGTGGTTGATAGGAATTTATGCCAGCTGTGATAAACAGGTGAGAAAAGGGCAATGGGATTTTATTAGCAGGAGGAAAGCTTTGTGGGGGGAGAACTAGGTAATCATATGGGATTTTAATGACCTTTATTCTAATGAGGAGAAGTGGGGGGGCAGGATTAGAGAGGAATGGAGCTTCTTGGACTTTAGGCAGTTTCTCCAGGAGAATCATCTGATTGATATTGGGTTTGAAGGTAACCCCTGGACCTGGTGTAATCAGTGGCAAGATGGTGAAATAAGACAAAGGCTGGATAGGGGGCTTAGTAGTGGAGCTTCGAGTAACCTATTTGAACAACCTAAGTGCACTCATGTTGAAAGTTTAGCCTCTGACCATAGCATGTTGATCCTGGACACAAATTCAGGGAAAGGAGGAAGAGAAAGAAGTTTTTCTTTGACAAAAGATGGGTCCAGAGAGAAGGGGTGGGGGAGGTGATAAAGAAGGCTTGGGAGAAGGATGTTAGGGGTTCTAGAATGTTTAGGGTAGTACATAAGATTAAGAGATGTAGAGTTGCTTTGCTGAAGTGAAGGAATGGCTTTGTGGAAAACTCTAAGAACAGGATCTCGACCTTGAAACAACAGCTGTTGGAGGAGAAAGGATCTGATGCTGAAGGAAGGAATGGAAGAATTGTTGTTTTGAAGAACCAGTTGGTGAGAGCGTACAGAGAGGAGGAACAATACTGGAGTCAGAAAGTTAGGATAAATTGGTTACAAGAAGGAGATAAGAATACTAAATATTTCCATGCAGTGATGAAGGGGAGAAGAAAAAAGAAATAAGATAGGGAATTTGCAGAGAGATGATGGGTCTTGGACTACTGATGACAAGGATATAGCTGATGAGATTGCTAAATATTATAGACAGCTCTTTAGGTCTACTAGGACTGAGGGTCTAGAGGAGGTTCTGGAGGGTATCCAAAGAACTATTACTGACCAGATCAATGTTAATCTAACCAGGCCTGTGGAGGAAAATGAGATAAAGGTAGCAGTCTTCGCCATGAATCCTAATAAGGCACCAGGGCCTGATGGGATGACACCCCTCTTCTTCCAAAAATTCTAGGTTACCATTAAGGAAGAGGTGATGAAAGCAATCTTAGCTTTCTTTCAATCTGGGCATATGTTCAAATCTCTGAACCATACCATTATCTCTCTCATTCCTAAGGTGGATCTGCCTACTGACTTGAAACAATATAGGCCAATCAGCCTTTGCAATGTTCTCTATAAAGTTATCTACAAAATCCTAGCAAATAGATTGAAACCTGTCCTTGAACACTGCATTAGTAAAAACCAATCAGCTTTCGTTCCAAATAGACAGATCCTGGATAATATAATCATTTCCCATGAATGCCTTCATTTTCTTAAAAATAAGAGACAAGGTAAGGATGGCTATACTGCAATCAAGCTAGACATGTCTAAACCGTATGATCGAGTTGAATGGGATTATCTGCAAGCTGTGATGGAAAAAATGGGGTTTAATCAGGTATGGATAGGTTGGATTATGGAGTGCATTAGGTCTGTCTCATACTCCTTCAATATAAATGGAGAAACCAAGGAATATGTGATCCCTTCTAGAGGCATTAGGCAAGGTGATCCTCTGTCACCTTACCTGTTCTTATTGTGTTCTGAAGGGCTCTCTAATCTGCTAAGGAATGCAGCTAGACAGGAACTGCTAAGTGGACTAAGGATCAGTAAGCATGAACCAACAATAACTCATTTATTTTTTGCTGATGACACACTGATATTCTGTAAAGCTGTGGGGACAGAAACAAGAAAGTTAAAAGATATCCTGGATCAATATGAAAGAGGGTCTGGCCATGTGATAAATCTGGACAAATCCTTTATCTGTTTTAGTAAGAATACAAAGGAAAGGGACAAGGAGGAATCCTGCGAGCCACTAGCAGGAGTAAGGACAGTGAATCAAGGTAAATATCTGGGCCTTCCAATGGTAATCACAAGGACAAAAGGACAAGTATTTGCCTACATTAAAGATAACATCAAAGCCAGACTCAATAGTTGGAAGAACAAGTTCCTAAGTGTAGCAGGGAAGGAGGTGATGTTAAAAGTTGTGACAATGGGCATGCCAAACTATGCGATGGCCTGTTTTAAGTTACCTGCTACACTCTGCAAGGAAATCTCAGGGATGATGGCTAGTTATTGGTGGGGGGAGTCAGAAGGGAGGAGCAAAGTACACTAGTGCTCATGGGACAAAATGATGAAGGCAAAGATGGAAGGAGGTCTGGGATTCAGGAACTTACTGTGCTTCAACAAAGCAATGCTGAGGAAGCAGATTTGGAGAATGATTAGATACCCAAACCTGTTGGTTAGCAGAATACTAAAGTCTAAGTACTACCCCAAGGATTCCATTCTGAATTGTGAGTCCCCCAAGAATGCATCTTGGTTTTGGCAAAGTATCATATCAATAAGAGAGGTAGTCAAGGGGGGCATCCTGAAAAGAATGGGATCAGGGAAGAGCATAAGAATATGGAAAAACCAATGGATTCCAAACAATCTAAATGGAAGGCCTGCTACAAGGATGCCAGAACGTGGAGAGGAGCAAAAGATGGAAGAACTGATCTCAAATTTCAGATGGAATAGGAATGAGATATACAGGAGGTTCAATAGGGAGGATGCCGAGAACATTTTGAAAATACCTATCAGTCTGTCAAGGTCAGGGGACATGCACTTCTGGATACATAGCAAGAGTGGGAAGTTCTCAGTTAAATCATGTTATCAGGCTCTGCTTAAGGAAGAGAGAAGTATGGGAAGTGAAGCAAAAGGAGAAGCTGGATCGAGTTATGATGACTCCAACACACAAATCTGGAAAACTCTTTAGAGACTGAGCATCAAGTATAAGATCAAGCTATTCATATGGAGATGCATTACTAACACATTAACAGCCAAGGAAGCAATCTTCAGGAGGACAAAACAAGGATCGCCTATCTGTTCAAGGTGTGGAGATAGTATGGAAACGGTTGAACACATTCTATTCCATTGCCAGCAGGCTCAGAGGGTATGGAAGATAGCACCAGTCCAGTGGAATGGAATCCAGAACCAAACAGGATGCTTTAAGAAGTGGTGGACAGCATTAAGTCAAGCCACAAGTAGGACTGAAGGAAGACAACATATTGCCTTGACTGCTAACATACTTTGGCAGCTATGGAAAGATAGAAATAAGATGGAATTTGAAGGGAAAGAAAGAGATGGTCTGAAAATTGTACAAAAAGCCAGTTCAGAATGGATGGAATATGAGGAAGCTTGGAAAGGAAAGGATGAGAAAAGTACATCAGAAACAGATGAAGCAATTGGAAGAGCAAGGGAAGGAGGATGGGAGGAGAGAGAGCTGATGGAACTTCAGATTGCTACCAAGAAAGCAGCAGTGGGACATAATTTGGGAATTGGCATCGTTGCTAAGCAGTCTGGAGGGAGGATCAGAGTTGAGTAGACTTTAGTGGAGAGGAGCGCGCACAGGGATATTCAAGATGAAGTTATAGCAGTAAGATTGGCATTAATGAAAGCAAGACAACAAGGATGGCAAAGAATCAAAGTCATTAGTGCTAACAAGCAACTCATTGTCTTGCTAAAAGCTAGGAAAGGTGATAATCCGAATACTGCTACACTAGTCGAAGACATAAATGTGTTAGCTAATCTGTTTCAAAAGTGCTCTTTTGAAGTTAGGAATATTATTAATATGTCTTTAAGTAATTAAATTAACTATAATGCTCTAAGCATACTTATTGATGAGGCGAGAATTTTTCGCTCTCCTTAAGTGTCACGGTACACTTTGTAAAGTTGATTGAGTCGTTGCTCAAATATTGTACAGTTTGAGAATTTATAAAATATCTTCTATCGTTTCCGGAAAAAAAAAAAAAAAAAAGAGAAAAGGAGAAGAGAGATAATAGACAACGTCCAAAATTCGTTGGCCTGCTGATTTGAAATTGGTTAGTATAAAATCCCTTTTGCAAACCAACCACCACCACGACGGCTTCACTCCGTCCGTCCTTTTGCAACCTCCTCGCCGGCGCTTAACCTCCTTCTCACTGCTTTCTTCACCAAACCCAGAGCCTCCCTCAATTCATTTGGTTAAAAAAGTTATTGAGAGTTCATCTTCTAGTCTATTTATCAGTGCTACTCTTGAGATATAGAGCAATGTCAGTGATGGGAACTGATACATCATGGGTGGGCAGAAAACCTCTGAGGCGCATAGGAGGGATGTCAGATGCCCTCTCCATTGCCGCCGATCTCGGCTTCTCTGTCGCCCCTCCTCCTTCTCAGGTACCCCACTCACACTGTTGCCTATCTAGTTAGTATTTTCTTTAACAGAAAAGGAAAAAAAAAACCTTTTCTGTTGAGATCTTTGGTTGCAAATTTCGACCTCAATCTTTCTAAAACTTTGTATATGCTTGGTGGGATTTTAATTATAGTCAGGATTCATCAGCCAATTGCAAAATTTCCCTGAATTGTTAGACCGTTTAAAATTCGAATTTAGACAGAAGTTAAAATTCTTTCGCCGAATTGTTGGACCATTTTATGCGCTTATTCAGCCAATATCAAAATTTCCAGCAGTACAGAACATATCAAGCTGTGCCTTCACTTCATTTGCTGTCATATGTTATTTTCGATGCTTAAAGGTTAGGTGCTTCATCGGTGTAATGTACAAAAATTGGGTACATAACATTCAGGGCTTTTTCTGTTTGTTTAATTGTAGTTTTTGTGCTGATTCAGTTTATTTTGGCTTGCATAGGAAGAGATCCAGACCCTATCCACAAGCGAAAAAGGTGATGATTTGGTAAAGGTTTTAAGAGAGCTGACTGCTGTGCAAAGAAAAATCGCAGATTTGCAGGTGGAACTTCAAGGTCGGAAGGTAAAAGTCTTCATTTTTTGCTCCTCACTTGTAACTACTAAGTGGTTGCTTGTGTATTTCACTAAGTATATCTGCATCTCATTTTTTGCTCTGATTTTCGAGTCAGTCACTTTCTTTGTTAGCGCACATGGATGAACTTGGATTTAGGAGTACCATGCTTCATTTGTTACTTCATGGACTGCCATAAGCTCTGTAGTTTACCAAATTCATATTGGTTATTTGGGAGCAGCAGTTTGTACTACTCGGTTTGGCTATTCATTCTGTCCTAGTAAGATAGAGGGCGACATGAATCACCAAGGCTCATCAAATTATGAACTTTGTGTGTCTGAAATACCCATATGAAGATAGGTTTCCTTCCTTTTTCAGTCTGATGCTAAAGGATCAAAAGGGCATGTAGTGGTTATCTAGTTTATTGTTTGAAAATTGTTAGTTCCCCAGTGACCAAGGATCGAGAAACTAGAAATTGAAGATATTGCAGCGGAATTATGTGTTGTCTGATTGTAATAGTTCACTAGTGATGCCACTTTTGTGTGAGACTGATTCATCTCCATGATTGCACTAGGAGGACAAAAATGTTGCTCATCTCACCCATGTGAGTGAAATGGAAAAGAAGATTGAGACTTTGTCAAGGATAACTGCCATATTGAAAGATGTCATCCAAAATAAGGTAATGGATTCAGATCTATTTGTTTTGTCACTCATCTCTATACCTGACTGAGAGCAACTGAAGTTTTTAAAGATTTTTATCATGCGCTATGATATTAACATGAGGTGGTTTTTGTTGGTTTTGAATTGCACATGGATATACCCATGCCAAAATTCACCACCCATGGTTACAGTAACTCATTGTTATGGGAGCTGTAATTTGTCAAACTCCCTGATTGACACCGTTGCTACTCAATTGGAATGTCTCCTGTAATTTGTCAAACTCCCTGATTGACACCGTTGCTACTCAATTGGAATGTCTCCTGCTTTGAAATGCGTGACAGTTCACCTTGTGTTAAGAAATAAATTTCTGAACTGTCCTGTGGAAGCAATTCTCATGGGCACAGTTGTAACCGCAGTCTATACAGTTCTTTCCTTGTGTTATTCAGGACAAGTCAAAAAATATTATTCATTAATCTTTCATCTCTATCTAATTTCCTTGCAGGATCGCATAATAGCTCGTCTTCAGCAGCCATATTCATTAGATTGCATCCCAGTTGAGGCTGAATATCAGGTTTGTTTGTTAAAGTAGATCACGAAATTCCTTATCTATGTTCAAGAAATTTGTTTCCTTGTAAAATCTCAAGCACCCAGTAAATATACAATGAATTTAACACACTTTGCTCTGCATAACAGTGATCTTGGTTTACAGAAGTGACGGATACTTGACCTGCTATTGTTTTCTTACCACAAAATTGCTTAAACAGTCAGATAATTGTTTTTCCTTCTGTGCTACCTTTGACAGAAACAATTTTCAGAACTCTTAATGAAGGCTGCAAGTGACTATGGCGCCTTGACAGCATCCATTGCAGATTTTCAGTGGACACAGAACTTCAAAGAACCACCATCAGTTTGGGGGGTAATTCTATTGTAGAGATAATATTTTCATTTGGGTCCCAACCTGGAATGAACTCAGCATTTTATGCCGTATACTTGTTTACTGTTGAACATATAACCTCTCTTGAACATGCCATGTTACTTCCAAATTTTCTATACTTTTTGTCTTTCGGATAAAAATTAAGGTATTGTATAATCTTTGACTACAGGAGCAAAATTATGTTTTTATTTTGCGTAGTAAACTCTTTAAGATTTTCATTAAATAAGTGAGACCCATGTAAGTGTTTGCTGCTACAAACTTGAGATGCAATACACTCTTAGCCATGCAAACGTTAGATTAAATAATGGCCTTGAGCATAGGAGAAGAGCATAACCTTGGTCATAAGTATCTCTTACCCGACCATAGTGATGTTCTTCATGTTTAACTGTTTGAACTACCTGGAATGCAACCAATAGCTTAGCTGGTTCAATGCAGGAGATGCTTCGTCCAATCCCTGTTGCTTTAGCTTCATGCACACGATTCTTTGAAGCGATGTCAGCAATGAGAGACTCATTTGCCACACTTCAGAAGTTGAGAGTGGGCCATTCTTCTTCCTCCGCTATGGCACCAAATCCAGATTCGTCACAAAGGATACCGGGAGATTCTGATTGTGTAACTCCTCCCTGGAGAACTGAATCAAGACTTGAGGACTTAGCTTCCAGAAGCCCGGCAAAGTCAGAGGTTGATCGGGGGGAAGATGATGATGAAAACAGTGAAGTGGGGGAGAATAGTCAAGTTGATGGAATTAGTCACAGGAGATTATCTTGGCCACCGTCAATCAAACAAAATGGTCTGCAGTCATAGCACGTTTAACTGCTGGAATTTGGAATCGAGTGAGGGAGTATAGCACAAAATTCAATTATTCAATGCTGTCCCAGTGCTGTCAATAGAACGTCATTTGTTGTATTCTTGCATTAACTTTCACCAGATGTGCTCAACTTCAAATGGGCAGGTGAAGTATTTGTATACTTTGTCTCGAATGAGTAATTATTTGAAGAATCAAATGTTCACACTCTTAGATTTAAAATCATACTTATATGGTACGAAACTTGCATGACTGTGGAAGTAGTGAATTTGTTAGAGAATTACCCAACACTGAATATCATTTTATGTCAGGTCTAATCGTTAGCAAAATCGAAAGGCAAAAGAATCACTACCGAGTCTACTCTACGGTTCTAATTGCTATGACAGCAAAGGAGAAGGAATTTGAGGCTCCAAAAATACTCTGCCATTTTTCATGGAAGAAACGGTGCAAGGATCAAAGACGATTAAAGAAAGAAAGGAGTGGCATAACATTGTAGATGAATTAAATAACTCAAAGCAAGAAGACAGCAGGGCTCTCCTTCAATTTGGCACCACTTGAGACAGATCTTTGGGACCAATTACTTATTTCTCACGGGTGTTTATGTCATTTGCCTTATTCTTATGAATTTTTCTTGTCTAATTTCCCTATCATCTCTCGCAAAATTTTCTTTTTATGGTCCTTTTGGATGGAAATGAAGTTTATGACTTTCTAAATAATGGTTATGAGTTTCCTAATTTTTGTTTATTAGAGAGACAAAATAATGCAATAGGACTAGTTGTCAGTGAACTCTTTAAGTACCAATAGATGTTGGTGCAAGTGGAAGAGACTTGCATCCCTTAACTATAAGGTCTCGGGTTTTTGAAACCCATAAAAATGAAAAAAAAAACAACATTAGTAGAATTTCTGGACCTGACCCTGTTTAAACAGGATTTGAATTCTTAAGTGTCTGCCAAGTCAGCCAGGATGGAACTTAAAATCCTTGTCCTGCAGTCAATAAAGACCAGGTGGATGGCCATAACCACTTTTTTCTCCCCTAATTTGGGAAGGGTTGGATTTGGATTTAAAAGGTGGGAAGGGGCAGAGAATTATCATAATCCATTATATTTGTATAGTACATTCTTTTATTTTTTTGTAAAAATGTATTTTAACAATGGATTTTACCATTTAAGTTTATTAATGTAACTCAACGTGCATAAGAACTTGGTTTTACTTGATAAATTCTATCAACTTTCAAAAAATCAATCCCCAAATTAAAAGCCAAATGAGTGATGAGACGAAAACATAAGTGCAAAATCTCATAAATGTTGTGACTCTCCAACTACGAAAAGCCATTGAAAGCACAACTTCTTTATTCATGCAGCTCATTTCAAATATTTCCGCACAAGTATCACTTAGAAAGATAAATTCCAATTTAAGTACTCCCTCTGTCCCACTTTGATAGTTCTATTTCTTTTTTCACACAGTTTAAGAAAAAGTGGTTAATTTTGTTGGAAAAGTAAATTTAGATTGCTATTTTCCTAAAATACCCTCACATTAAGTAGAGTACAATTTTATGAGAACTTGAATTGATGGTAAAAAAAGAATCAACTCTCATTAAATGGAGTAGGTTTATAGTAACAACAACTTACATTAAATAAGGGTATTTTAGAAAAATTAAAATACAACTACATTTTTCAATTGGAAAGTGGACTACAATTTGGGATAGACGAAAAAGGAAAACAGGACTATCAAAGTGGGACGGAGGGAGTAACTAATACAATTCGATTAAAATGATACAAAAACACCATCTTTCAACACGAGAAATTTCAGATTATACAACACTATATGTTTTTTGAATTAAAACCCGAATCCCATTTTTTCAATAAAAACAAAAAAAAAATAAATTCCATTTTATGAATGAAAAAAAATTTCATTAACTATGAGCTAATATTCGACTTTCTAATTCAGCACAACTATCCATTGTCTTGTAAATGTTTGTAAATAGCCTGACCATGAATTAGTGAAGATTTAAGAACCATTACAGTTATTATCAAAAAAAAAAAAAAAAAAGAACCATTACAGTTTTAAGGCACTCCTCGAAAACTAAAACATTTCAGAAACTCTTAAAGCAGAAATTTCATGGGACCTTACCTTAAATCAGAACAAATGTCACCTACTAGTCTGCTGCCCAGTACGTACAGAGCCAAGTAGTGACTGTGCCAGTGGTTACGCTCTTTTTGTCTTGTTCCTGGACGAATGTGTGTGTAGGTGTCCTGTCCTGGCACAAAGCAGCTGGTTTTTGAGTTTTTTGGCTACTTTACATTTCCAGTTTTCTCACAAAGATTAAAGTAGATTCATCTTGCTAAAATGTGACGCAGTCTGAGATGGGAGGAACTGAAATCCCTTCTTCAGTCTAAAGAAGAAAGTTAGTATTAGTCATCCGCCTCCACGAAACTTCAGAGCCCATGAACTAGACCAAGTTTGAAGGTAAAAATTCTGAGCTTCCATCCCCTGTTTTAACACGTTTAACTCCCACTTTTTTTTGTTTTTATCTTTTTTTGGTTGATAGATGGGGTGAAGATGCTTTTCTGCTTTGATTTTGTACCTGCTACATCTCTTTCTCTTTGTGGAGATGGATTGGTTTTTTCATGTTCTTCTGAAAGTTCCTCTACTCTTTTCTTTTTCTATTTCATTTGAAGTCGGTTTGCAGATATTTTTTTTTTGCCCCCAGGGGGTGGGGGTGGAGAGGCTGTACTTTATCATTTTTAAGTATCATCGCCATGTAGTCATGAATTTTTGATGATTCTTTTTGTGGGCTGGCCTGTTTTCTTGAATTTTTCCATTCCTGCTTTTTATGTTATATGACGTAGCTATTACTCAGGTAGAAGATGACAGCCTCACCCAAAAAAAATTGTGGATGATGAATGGAGTAAATGTAATAGAAGAGAAAAAACATGAGGTTATAATTATGAAAAGGATCTAAAAGATGGGAAAAAGAGAAGGGACCAGAGCAATGAACGGACTGGAGAAAAAAGGATTTTGAATATCATTTTTGAAAATGCAGATGATAGTTTCCATGTAAAGTTCACATCCTGATAACGGAAGTCATCTAGTAAAGGCAAACAAAAACTTTCAGAGTTGCGATTCTCTTGTACCATTCTTATTGATCGATCAATAGGACCAAAACAAGATATCATGGATTTGGATGTATGATTAAGGTGCATTAAATGACTGAACTATATGTCTTCTTCATCTATATTGCATATTGAATCTTTCTGTATATGTTTAGATGATACGACTTTGTAGAACTCATACTATTGATTAACTTCTCTGTGACTAAACAATTTTACACTTCGAAGTTCCTCAAGAATTCCAAAAATTTGTACACCTGCCAGAGATGATCCTCTGCATCTTAAAGAAGATTTTAGCAGTAGATACTTGAATCTTCATGTTCTATAGAAAAAGAATGAGGTATATGCGTGAAATTAAACCTTATATCCAAAAGCTCAATTGGATAGTTCAAGCTGGTTTTGTTGTAGCTACTGAATGTTAAAATCACCCGGTTAAATGATCTTTCAGGTGCTAATTATAGCATGGTTTGTGCAGACACGTGCACAGGGGCATATATTTGTGCTAAAAAGGGGTAAAATTTAATAGCTATTGTAACGTGTATACTTCAACTGGAATGTATTGCCCAATAAAACCTCCTTTGATATGCACTTGTTTTGTTATCAATCTCTTACAAAACGCATAAATTTACACGCTCTGAACTGAGATATACTTGGCCATTCATGTTTGTTACTAGACAGAATGTTTGTGGGACTTGCCTGCTCTAATTTCAGTCTTATTAGATGTTCTAGCTAAATGGTTCTACATATATCTGACTACAAAGAAGTATGATTATATGTTAAATAATCTACAGCCTAGTAACTTGTTAGTGTTTCTGAGAATATGTCTACCCACCTGGGGACAAAAGTTTTGTTTCAAAATTTCAGGAGGACATAGTGTTTTGTCTTGCCAACATCTTTTGTCATGAAAGTGTACTATCAGGCACTAAAATGTTTTTCGAAGTGTGTTACTGAAAACTTGTACATACCCTTCCAATGGATTATGTGGTCGTTTAGCTAATTTAATTAACTCATTCGTGATAGCAGGATATGATGGAGCTTGGGTGCATGAATGATGATATCCTAATGCAAGTACTATCCAAATTATCAACTAAGGATGTGCATATGCTGAAGTGCGTTGCTAAGGAGTGGCACAATCTTATCTTAGACCGCTCTTTCATATGCCTTCAATTAAAGAAGACAGAAGCAGTGTCAGGGTTTTTCTTTCAGGCAAGGTTCCATTGGTGTGATGAGGACATTAACAATATCAGCTACATTCCTCTTGAAACCAGAAAAACTCAAGTTCACAGCACTGTCCTTGACTTCCTCCCTGAGGAGGTTGTAATTCTGGCTTCATGCAGTGGATTGTTATGCTGTCGGAGTAGCTACCCTCATTATCCACCACTAATGTATGTTTGCAATCCATTAAACAAGCAGTGGATGATTGTCAATTCAGTTCATTATTCCAAGAGTGCAAGTGTAGCCTTGGTTTTTGATCCTTTCCAGTTACATAAAGAAGATGCTTCAACAAATTTCAAAATTGTTACTGTCTCTGAAACTGAATCAGAAGATGAACAATCTAAGTTTGCATTCCAAATATATTCATCAGAAACTGGAAAGTGGAGGCAATCAAGGGAGATATGTCATTGCAATCAGAAATTGTTCAAAAAGAACGGCATCTTTGCAGATGGTTCGTCGTATTGGCTTATGGATGGTGATAAAATCCTCATGTTCAACCCTGAAACTGAGCTATCTTGGTTGCTTGACGTACCTCTTCCCATCACAGAATTCCGTAGCATTCCTGAGATATGTATTGGGGAATCGAAAGGAAAGCTGCAGTGTGTGTTGTTGTCTGAATATGGACTTCAGTTATGGGCACTTGATGATTTCCTTACATCTCAGTGGAATCTGACATGCTCAGTTTCTCTGGATAAGTTGGAAGAAGAGAACTCCCAGTTCCTTTACCAGATAGCTGAGAAACTGGCAACTCGTGACACCTTTTGCTGGATAAAAGTTTTTGCTTTCAAAGATGGGATCTTGTTCTTAAGTGTGTCAAGTCATTTCTATTCATACGACTTTGCTACCAGGAAGATGAAAAAGCTCTGTGCAGTTTCTGATCTGGGACCAAACTCCAATGAGTTTCCAATGGTTGTTCCATACACAATGAGCCTGGTTCCTCTTGGTCCTGTGTAGGATAGACAAGTCCCCTTCTTTTGCTTCTTGCCATCAAGTTGTAGAACTAGTAGTATGGTTGAGTTAGCAGATGGGTTCGTTCTGAACAAGGCTTGCATTGCATGCATGTGATTCAGGGAGGAGATAGGACCGCTACACTATATCCACTTCACTGGCTATTTGTTTAGCTTCATTGGCTTTAGCATGCTGAGCTGAACAACTCCTAAAACTTTTTGAACTTGTTATATCTGTTTGTGCAAGGAGCTTACATTTTATTTGCCGTATTGATTTGGCCCTGTGGAGTGGAGTCTTTAGAGTTTAAAATCTAACTTTTGTCTCTGCAGTCGGGGATATAAATTTATGGGGCAAATTTTACTTTACCCCAACTGTGATTTAGTTTTTTTTTACATAACTCCCTTATAATTTCAAAAGCTATACATAATTCCCTCGTGGTTTGGATTAAAGTGTTAAAATGATTGAAATGATCGTTCGTAACGCAGTCACCTAAAATGTAAAAAATACCCTTATATAAAGTTGAAAATTATTAATTAACCAAGCGGGGTTATGTGTATATTTTGAAAATCATATGGGGGGTTATATGGTAAAGCATTAAGTGATAAGGGAATAATATGATAAAACATAAAACCACGCGGGGTTAATGTGTTATATATTTATAAGAGTAATTTCGGTATTTTCAAAAATTCCGTTACAAGTTACCATTTCCGTCACTTTAACACTTAATCCGAACGATGAGGGGATTATATATAGCTTTTGAAACAATAAAAAGAGTTATGTAGAAAAATACTGAACTACAATTTGCCCTAAATTTATTCAAGCATTACAAAGTGTCAAATTCAATTGCAATCATGTACAAAGAACCTTAGTCTGAATTCTTGTTTTGTCCAGAGTGTGAAGGATGAATAAATGAGCAGGCAATATTTCCAAAACTTGCACCAAAAAGCTACTCAAGTTCTATGATTCTCCTTTTGCAATGAATTATGTTGCATACCCTTTGTACTTCAAACTAAATTTTGTTGAAAGACATGATGGTGCATGAACATTTTTCAGGCCACCTCTCATGACTGATTAAATTGAAAATTATCTATTTGCCAATTCATTAAAAGATTTTGAAACAATTAGGATTATATTTCTTGGTGGAATTCACATATTAATGAGATACTTTTGCCTAGTATTGCATTATTCAATATCTCTCTACCAAAGTTATACAAACTTAAGTTCGCTTAACTTCACAAGCTTGAGGTTAAGAAAAATGTTAATTAGATGGAGCTATTAATTAGAATGACAACAATTTTGGAGCCTAAGCATGACGAGTTGTACATTTAGCACAGAAAGTTGTACATGTTTTTTGAAGGGAAAATATTTCAAGGAAAATTAACATGCATAATTTTCTACGTTCGCTCCAGTCAACTAGACTTCTGGAACTTAGCTCCATAGCTATTATCAGATCAAAAATATTGTCTTCAAATCATAGATACTGCTCAATTACCATAAATGGCCCAGTTGGCAGCAAGGATGATGAGGATGCCTACGTTTCCATACTACGAAAGTGCATTGATGCCTCAAATTTGAGAAATGCAAAGGCAATCCATGCAAAAATCTTCAAAGGGGATATTTGTGGTTCCTCGTGGCTCTTTCTGGGCAACCATCTGATCAATGCGTTTGCAAAATGTGGTGAAACTTGTGATGCTCTTCAACTGTTTGATGAAATGCCCCAGAAGAATGTGGTTTCTTGGACAGCCCTCATTGCAGGCTTTGAGCAAAAGGGTTTGTCTGCGGAGTCTTTTTCTCTCTTTAAGCAAATGGGTGCGAGTGGAATGAGGGCGAATGAGTTTACCTTGGTCAGTGCTCTCCATGCCTGCAGTGCTGCGGATTTTCTGGGTGTAGTACATGTTTATCAAGTTTATGGTTTGATAATCAGGCTTGGATTCGAGTCTAATGTTCACTTACTGAATGCTTTTTTGGTGGCATTGATGAGGCATCGCAGATTGAGTGAAGCTTTCGAGGTGTTTGAGGAGAGTCATCATAGGGACATTGTCAGTTGGAATACTATAATAGGTGGTTACTTGCAGCTTTCTTGCAGGGAAATTCCGGGTTTTTGGGTTAGAATGATTTCAGAAGGCATAGTTCCGGATGGATTTACCTTTGCCAGTGTACTAACAGGGTTGGCTGAGCTATTGGATTTTGAAATGGGAGTTCAAGTACATGGGAAGCTTGTGAAGTCTGGTCATGGAAGTGAGATGTGTGTTGGGAATGCCTTGGTTGATATGTACCTAAAAAATCGGAAATTGGTTGAGGGCTTTAAAGCATTTGAGGAGATTCCTTTACTTGATGTGTCCTCTTGGACTCAGATGGCTATAGGTTGTTTAAACTGTGGGGAGCCTAATGTGGCACTTAAGGTTATCGGAGAAATGAGGAGGAAGGGTGTCAAGCCAAATAAGTTTACTCTTGCAACAGCATTCAATGTGTGCGCCAATTTAACATCGTTGGAGGAGGGTGAAAAAATTCATGGCCTGAGGATTAAACTTGGGCATGACGTGGATGTATGCGTAGAAAATGCTTTACTTGATATGTATGCAAAATGTGGATGCATGAGTAGTGCACTTAAGGTTTTCCGATCAATGGATGAATGGTCAGTTGTCTCATGGACAACTATGGTTATGGGGTTTGCACAGAATGGCTGTGCTAAAGAAGCTCTTGAAATTTTTGATGAGATGAGGCTGAAAAGAGTGGAGCCTAACTGCATTACTTTTATATGTGCACTTTATGCATGTAGCCAAGGAGGATTTGTTAACGAGGGATGGAGTTATTTCTCTTCAATGAGCTCTCAGTATGGTATTGACCCTGGAGAAGATCACTATGCCTGTATGGTAAGCCTTCTTGGCCGATCAGGGTGTATTAAAGAAGCTGAAGAGTTGATCCATGGCATGCCATTCAAACCAAGTCTGCTGATTTGGCAAACATTGCTTGGTGCTTGTCGGCTTCATGGGGATAATGAAACTGCAAAACGTGCAGCAGAACATGCATTGCATCTTGATAAAACTGATCCTTCAGCTTATGTACTGTTATCTAATACATTTGCCAGTTCAAATAACTGGGACAGTGTTGGAATATTGAGAGAAGTAATGGAAAGTCAGGATGTGAAGAAAATGCCTGGGTCCAGTTGGATTGAACTAGACAGAAATGAGTCAGTAACTAAAAGTCATAGGGTATCAATATGAGAAGAAATTGGGAGAAAAGAACATATAGCAGCAGAATGAGATTTCTGTCCATCATCAGCATCAGAATGAAAGTTCTACTCTTCATCTATTTGAAGAATTAAGAGATCAGAGGTTTGTTAGGACACTTTCTATATGGTATAACCATATCGAAGGATAAGTGGCAGCAATAGCCTTTTTTCCCAGGTCTCTTTCTCTCTCCCACACAAACAGACACACACACACACACACACAGAGATGCAAATTTTAACAACTGATATCATGGCTCACTGGCTAATGCATGTGTGTTGCATTGCACTTTGTTCTTTAGGAGGTTTAAGAGTATTGCAAGTTTGAAAAGCCAAATGTAGTTCCGCTATGTTTGCAAGTAACAGTCAAGGTTGGTAATTCAGGAGAAAGGAAAGGTACACCATCTACATGTTTGTAAGTGGGGTGGAGGAATAAGTATCAACTATGGTGCATCCATGTCACTAGAAAGTATGAGTTGATTGGAATTGAATGGAGATGACTCGCTGCCTTGAGCTCCTGGAAATCCATATGGAAAGTAGTGATTAATAAGTATGCCATGCCAGGTGCTAAATTTGACATTCTATAATGGTTTGTGGAAACTTGAGGAACTGTTGGGTCACCATTAGGCATCATCTGGTGTAGTCTTGAAGAGTTGTTGTTGTCCAGCATAGTCTCTTGGGTTATTGTCATGCATGAAAATTCTGCCTTTCAATAAGTAGCAATATTTAGGTATTTGGGTCTAGTACTTCAACTCTACTTCTAAATTTGATTACAAGTCGTGTCAATTGGATGCAAGAGCTTCAGATACCAAACAAACCCTATGTGAGGAATACAACTCCTGAGTTTCTCCATCATTTTGAAGGGCAGTTGGCTTTTAGCCATCTGTTGCAGCTAGGTCATTACCTAAGAATTGCTTCTTGATATTGCTCCAACTGCTAATTTCTTGCCATAGTCACAGGATAAATGAGACCAGATGGACTTTGAGTAAAAATGGTAAAGTGCCAGTACGTGGTGCCTTTGAGAACTTAAGATATATGGCTGGTTTTTTTTTTTTTTTCTATGGCTCACTCTGGTGTCATAGAATTATAGAATTCTCAGATGCTCCTTTATACTCCAGTTGGTTTTCCATGGGCCATGGCAAATGCTTTTCCAAAGAATCTGAGGTTTACCTTCTATTCTTTTGGCATTTGCACTTCTCCTGTGGTTTATGGAAGCATGGGTCAACTTTATTTGGTTGTTAGAGAGCTGAATCATGAAGTACCTTGGTGAGTCTTTCTTAAAAGGATACTTTTCTTCACTGTTGGAGAATTTTGCTGCTGCTGCAGCGTATAACTATAGTCAAAGCAATGCGATGCAACAAACCTTTTAGGGAGAAACCATAAATATGTGAATCTTGTAGGATCTAAAGCTAATAATTTAATGAGGATTCTAAGGCCCTTGCGGCTTAGGACCAGTGATTAGCTAGAGAATTGGACTCTCCTTTCTGTATAGTTTCTCTTATGTTCTATTCTCTCTTCTCTTGTTTGTGTTCATTGTAGGATTCCCTTTCTGCCAAATTTATTGGATGTTAGTCATTTTTCAATACTGTTTTATTGTTTTATCTACCATAACATGAGGATGTGATTACAGAGGGTTAAAAAGAAAAAGCGAAGAAGGAACTATTGCAGATGTTCCAATCTAGGATTTGTGGTTTATTTTCAGGGTCTTTCTGCCAATATTTTCGTTGTGGTAATCAAGGATTATATTGGTTCTTAGAAAGTTAGTATTTGTATCTTGCATTAGCACAATTATGAAAAAAGCAAGTCTTTAGCTCATGAATTCGTCATTATGTGGGCAAAGAATCATATATGGCCTACATATTCTTTATTGCTGATAACAAACAATAACAAGAATGTTATTTCACATGCATTACGAATCCTAGCTGATATAAAACCTTGTCTTCTTACTAGTAGGAGAATACATATATTCTCCTTCTGTCCACCCAATGAGCTCAACATGCAAGCAGAACCACAGATTCAAATTAAGATCAAAGCTTTAATTGTAATTCTCATGAACAGTTAAGGCAGACACTTCATTTCAGACAAGACATCTCTAATAAGATGTTCAGAAATATAATGGTATGTTGCTTGTGTCAGATGCACTCCATCCCAATTTATAAACTTTTCTGGGTTATGGCAAGCTTTTACTCCTGGTGACCCACAAACCTTTGTACTATTGAAGTTATACTTCTCGCCAGTTCCACAACATGCTTTGAGCAGTGATCTTTGGTCAAAACCAAGATACCTAGCATTTTGAAGAACATATTCAAAGGCCTTGTAGTAGTCAAAATAACGGATATCAGCATTTGGAAATTCAAGTCTTAGGGATGCTAGAGCTTTCTGAAGATATCTGTTAAAGAGCAAAGCAAACTTGTTGGATTCTGTCAAACAACCATAATCATCATAAGCTTTAGGGTCAGCACTAGAAAATGAAGCCAGAGCTTTAGGCAAGCATCCAGCTGGGAAGTTTCCTGGAACTACTACATGAACAGCCCCAAATTGAATAACTTCTCTTACAGCATTGCATATGGCTTTAACAACAGGTGGCACATACACCCTGCTCTCCTTTAGGGACTTGCCTTGAGAGAAAATACTGTTGAAATCATTCCCACCTATCTCTCCCATCATGATCAGAGCTCTTTTTAACCTTTTCTTGATTTGAGATCGACTATTTGACACTGAACTAAGATGTTTCTTGAACCATTTCACCTGCTGGCTAAGGGGAATGTTTTTTGAGGGTACAGAAATATTTCTTTTAGCAAAAAAAGAATTAACAAGAGCTGTGCTTCCACCTACTGCAAAGTTGACTCCATGACTAAATGAAGCATTTGTTTCCAGGTATGGATGGAGCAGTGGGAGATGAAGCGCTTTCGCAATGAAATCAATCACAAGAAGGCCATTGGAGAATCGACCTGTGGGCTTATGGAAGTATGTCATACCATAAGGCAAACTGGAAATGTTGAAAACAGAAGGTACACCAACCTGACGAATCCGGTTACCTGTATCTGCAAGTGAATCACCGAACTGGTAAATGTAATCAAAGCGACATGTGGTTTCTTCGGCAGCAAAAGCCATACAAAACAGGGATAAAGCTACGAGAAATGAGAAATTTGTTGACGAGGACATGGTTGGTAGCATGTTTCCCTGCAGGAATTTTTTCGCTTAGTCCATCAGTGATGATGGATATGTATGTAGATGTATGAAGCACAAAGCACGCAAGGAATTTATAATTGGGAGACTTGACATTAACCACACGTTCCATAAAATATCTTTGTTCCGTATCCACGTGAATTCAATCAAACTTCTGAATGCAATGCTGAGATGATTCAAATGTCGTACAGGTGAGAGTCCAGACAACCGTAGAGTGGGGGAAAATCTAGCAACAGTCCATCCTTTCTCTTCAGTAGTAACTAGGATTATTATTTATCAACATTTGTTCCATGGTTCTCTAATTATTACGTTCCTGGCCATCTGAACAATCAGAAACCTCCTAAAACAAGTGAATCCCCTCTTCATTTTAGACACTTTTGCGGTCCAAATCATGTTGGGAAGTATTGGAATTGCCGAACCACAGAATGAATATTTGCCAAGGAGATTAATCTGAAATGGCAACAAGGTTGTGTTGATGCCCATGTTAAATGCAAATATGGTCTACCCCGGAAACTTGGCAGATTTACAAGCCAATTTAAACAGAGAGATGGAGAAAGTCAGAATGAGCATGCGCATGATGGCAAGCATTGGGACCATCAGCCGACGATCCCCCCAACTTGGAGCCCGACAGCAAGCTAAGATGCTCTAGATTAAGTTGAGATTTGCTGTCTGTAACATTTTCCACAAGATTACAGAGCATGTAGGGAACACTAACAAGAACATGGGACAGTTATTCCAAGCATTTAATTCTAAGGTAAGTGCTAATTAGCAAAAGTACTAGGAAAGTAAGCAATGTTTCGAGTCATCATTTCGTGTAGTATCATTCTAAGCTGTATGTACGTTGTTATACATTGTTATGTCCTCGTTCCAGTAGCTTATCTTTTGAGTACATAAACTAGTAAATCAACAAAATAGATTAAAGGCCCTGTTTTCTTCTGATCCAATTTAATACTTAAATTTAATGAATTTAGATCTTAGTATATTCAGATACGTTTGATAACAAAAAAATAAACATATAATTAATTAAATGGCACTGAATTTTCTAGGCAAAACTTGCTCCTAAAAATAAGTAATAAGCTATTCACTTATCATTAAATGTGATATACAATCAAATGTATTTGATTTAATACTTAACAATTTTCAATAACTTAATGGATTCAGATTTTAGATTTTAGATCTCAAATTTCAATTTTATCAAATGCACCTAAGTAAAGATGAAATAAAGGGAATTCTGATAATGAAAACAAAGTAAAAAACATTCATATGTATACCATAGGATCAGTGGTTTAATTAAGTTGTAAAATATATTCTACAAATTTGTATTTTACAGACGATTTTTTTATTTTTTTTTTATAATTTTTCCCCTAAAGAACCGCATATAGACCTAAGTGCATCAGGTCCAGTCCAATCAAGAAGTGAGTAAGTTTAAGCAAGGCCACCATTGATGTACCCACAGATACTGCCCCCAAAGGCCAATTTCAGATGAACAAGAAGGACAATAGGGAGAAAGAGAGATCAGGAAAAGAGAGGGGAACTTGTTATTGAAGATCAGGAAGAAAGACACAAATTTGGTTGTTACAACTTCCCTATCCTTCCCTCCTAATTGACAAGTGATAAGGGTATTTAAAGACCAATCTCAAACGTACACGTGGTCTCTTCCACTGACTAACTATTACAATGATCAAAACGCATCCCTTATTACTCCGACACCCTCTTCTTCTAATTCATGACAGTACTCTGGCTGCCTGAAATAGAAGCTACTCCGGAAGTCGGTCAGTTTCATCCCAAAACCGGCGCTGCCAGAATTAATGACACGGGAGGCCTAGGGATGATGCTTATCTAAATAGCTTGACTCGAACACACAAACTACTCTGTCAATGGGTCGACTCAAGCTCGTTTTGATTGAACTCGAGTTCGAACTCGAAGTATTCAAAAGTATTGTCAAACTGATTTCGAACTTAAGGATTAGGTGTACGGAGAGTTCAATAAATTCTATCAAGTATTGCATTAAATAATTAAAAAAATATTAAATATGATAATTTATATATTGGATACATATACATACAAAATGACTAATATATATAGACTCAGCATTATTTGAGTTTAGTGTTTGAGTTTGCATCAAGTTTTTAACTTTGATAAGATTTCGAATTTTATTGAATCGAACTCAAGCAGCACTTATATCTTTTAAGTTCGAGTTCACATTCGAATATGGTATTACTCGAATTCGACTCGGCTCGGAGGCTGGTTGGATAGGATGCGGCAAAAGCCTTAATAGCGCCACTATGTATGTATATAGGCAAATTGCATGCACAATTTGGAATTAGACGTACATGATCAAAGTCAGCTTAGTTGTAGTTGTCTAGTAATTTAATATTTAGTGAGCTTGCTCACTAGTCTTGACTCTTCTGCTATATGTACATCTTGTACATATTGCCTTGGCTCACCCAAATTGAACTACAAACCATTGGCACTAATAATAGATACCTTGAGACTCAACAGGAAGGGTATTTCAATACGATCAAATAACCAAAAAAGTAAGCCTCCTCACAGGGCCTGCGGGAGTGGCGACCGATTTTGATGCCACATTCCTCCTGATTTCGCAGTTCATTGCAGTGAGAATTAAAAGGCATTGGCTGAAAGGATCAAGGGCTGGCACGGCTGAAATTCTCCTAACATTGCCGGGGTATCCAATCAAGATCAAGAGAAATGAGGAAGGGAAACTTTTGGATTCCTGTTAACGTGCCAAAGAATGACCCTTAACACTCGACCCCTGGCTGTGAAGATAAGTCCTTCTGGAGAAATACTAGCCATGTTAGTCCTTGGCAACCAGTACCAACGTCGTCTTACTGTCGTTTTGGAGCAGAATAGAATGTAAGTTGTAACCCCTGATTCCTGAAATGGAATTTGGAGTACCAGAGAATTCCTGAATAAAAAGTCCAGAGGTTTATTGCCCTCAAAAACTAGAAAAACCAAGGAGTTAAAAAATAAAAATTAAAAAAAAATTACTAGATGTCTTGTTTTGTAAGGACAAGGTGGTCCAAACTTAGCTCAGACCGGTCCTATGGACAGTTCTAACGCTGTAATTTTGGTTTGCATAAACTAGTCACCAGGATGGCATGTCTATTTGATAATAAATCAAGAAAAGTCCAGATGGACAAATTATCTAAAATGATGTATTTACCGTTTTCATTGATGAAAAATGTCTTTGATTAATAAAGAGTAAAATTTTCATTGTGGAATAATGGTATTAAGTATTAGGATTTTTCTATCAGGTGCGCAATAGACATTCATTAACACACATAAAAATTCCACTCAATTATTATGTATGTATATACACACTAATAATAACTACCTTTTTTTTTTTGTTTGCATTTGTACACATTTTTTAATTAATTTTACCTTTCCAAAAATAGGGGGCATTCAATGCACACTCATCAACGCCACGTGTACACACTAAACTCTAACTACCTTCCCTTACGTACATTTATACACTTTTCATAATTAATCTTACTTTTTAAAAACAAATCTAATAGCCGACGGATATCTTAATGAGTGCTCATTAATTGAGCACTCGTTAAATTGACTCTGATTAAGTATTGAATTGCGCCCATAAATACAATTTGTCTAATGCATCCTAAAATAATTCAAGGAACAGCCATCTTGATAGTTCAAGATATGGCACTTGGATAAAAAAAAGAGCTTTAAAAACCGATAGTTTAGCTTTCAGGCATCATTATCGGATCACACGCCGCGACAGCGCAAAAAGTGAAGTAATTGTAGTGTTCCTCGTAGCTACATCAAACACTTTTGAGATCAGAATGCACCTCAAGCCACTAGCATCGTACTACCAATTCTGAATCGTAAAAAAAGTGCACCTCAAAAAGAGGCAAACGCAAAATCCATTGATTGTTAGATCTTTGATAAGGATAAAAAGAAAAAAAACTTAGCAGCGAAGTCTGTCAAACAAGTTCAAAAGATTCTCTCCCACTGCATGCTATAAATATCAAAACACTTGAGTACTGGTACTACTACGATAATAAATTATACTACTAGCTAGTAGGAAAAAGAAAAAAAAAATGGCATCCCACGATAGTGGGATGTCTAGTCTTGGTGCAGCAGCTGCTGCTGCACTGAGCCAGAGATGCAGGTGCACCGTGACAAGAGTAGCCACCTCCGAAGAACTCATGAATTGCCCGAATTGCGGCGGAGTTGTTGCAGTTGTACAAGAAGAATTTGGAACCCCCCCTTCATCGCCATTAATCAATCCTATTATTTATCCTGATTTCTTCATCCGCACGTCTGACTCGGACAGTGATAATGATATCCCCGGCCATCTACTACCGCCGCCGCCGCCGCCGCCCTTTCTTCTGACCCTTGGGGCTAGTTCCAGAAGTAGAAACAGTGACTTCTACACCTACCCTGGTGTGTCTATTGTGGAGGACGAGGACGAGCTGCCGAGTGTAAGGATGACGGAAGGGCTGATGGCTTCGTATAGTTGTTCGCCATGCGCGGTTTGTTTGAACAGTTTTGAGGTGAACGAGGTGGTGAAGAAGACGCCTTGTAATCATGCATTCCATTCGGATTGCATATTGCCTTGGCTGCAATCTCATACTACTTGCCCCGTTTGTCGTTCTCCGTTGCATCATCGTAGCTGAAGGATTAATGCCCAAAATTAATGTAGAACGTACAGTTTTTTTTTTGGGTGATTATTATTACGATTATTGTTATTGTCATATTTTGTTTTTCGAGAAAGTGCTCTTTGAAAACAGAATGGAAATTCAACAAACACTCTCCTGTTTGTTCAGGAAATGAAACAAGGGGAAGTTCATGTTCATGTAAAGTTGTAAACTAGAGAAGGGAACTTTACGCGCAGTCTTATCATTCCTAGGCTCTCCTGTTTGTTTCTCTCTGCTTTATCTTGTTTTTATCGACAGAAAATAGTGGTAAACACTGAGAGCTCTGTTTCGCATGCGGTCCTTCTCTTTTGTAAACAATAGTGTGTGGTATCTGCAAACTTCAGGACGTTGAATGGAGGGAGTAATCCCTCTGTGATAATTCACAGATGTACAGATTCTGGACAGTTGCTTAACACAATACTTGATGTAATGATCATCATCATAAATACAGGTTGCCGTTTTGTCAAAAAAAAAAAAAAAAAAGGCAAGCGGTAAAATATTACTGAGTTGC